GCTGTAGGGGTGACTCGGGTGAGGTACAGTGGCCTGTAAGTTCTGGGGCCGCATCAGGAAGTTCTCACTGTGCAGAGACCATCAGGAGCCTCTCTGGATTCACACCCACCCCCTCCTGTGCAACACTGACCACCTGGTTTGCACCAGGCTCGCCTGGGCACGGGGGGGGGGAGGAGCCAAGGAGACGCAGCTCGGGCCCTCATAGTGCTGGAGAGCAGCTGGGGACCCAGGGCTCGCACTGTCTGGACTCTGAATGCAGCGTCTCCCACAGCACTGAACCGTGCAGAGAACCCAAGCAGCCGGCAGCCAGGGACAAACGAGCCTCAGCACCAAAGGACATGGAAACAACGCAGCATCTTCTGGAGACGCCTAGTAATGACACTGGGGCACGTGCTGGGGCCAGGTGGCTTGGCCGGCACTTAGAGCCTTGGAGCACAAGCCTCGAAGTAGACTGGCTGTTTCCAGGCCAAGAGTGGGGCTGGGTAGGGCATCGCTCCTCGGGTGAGGGGCTGGGAGTGACGGCCGGAGTGCCCTGTGCCTTTGCAGCTGGGGCCACGGCAAGGCAGCCTCTTCCAGGTGTCTCCTGTCATCCCCATCTGGCCAACTTCCTTAGCTGGACAATGGAACTCAGCTTAAGACACCACGTTTTGAGGCTAGAGGCCAATGGGAACCAATTCAGAGTGGAGCCAGAGTCACCGAACTTGAAGGAAAACAATATTCAGAAGCCAAGAACCCTGTCCTCCGTCTTGAAGATGGTCCTGCAGGTGAATGAATGGACAGCGAGCCTTTTCCTCAGGGACACCGAAGGGAGGATTCGTGAGATGCCAAGAGGAGTTAGTTTCCAATTAATCTCTCCAATTCTTCAGCAAAGCTTTCTTTTCCTGGTTATAAAAGTGAACCACGCTCTTTGCAGCAACTCCGGAAAATCTACAAAAGTGTAAAGAAGAAAATGGAAGATTAGAGTCCTACGATCCAAAGCTAACCATGGTTACTGTGGCAGAGCAGAGCTCTAAGCCACCTCTGTACATCCCAGCATCCCTCAGGCGCCCAATTCACGGCCAGCAGGTGGACCGGCCACCCCCACACTGGGGATCCTTGGGTTGGAGCCAGTAGGGAATCTGAGGGAGTGTGTGGGTGTATCCAGCAGCCACCACTATAATACTGTGTAACCAACGACCTCAGCTTCACTGGCTTGCAATTATAAACATTTGTTTCTCAGTCAGGGTTGGCTGAGGATTGGACAATTTTCGTGGACCCAAACTGCATGTTGGGTCCATGTCTGCTCCACGTGGCTCTCGTCCCTCTGGAATCAAGGGGCTCCCAGAGGCACACCTCTCTCCATGGCAGAGCTTACCAGTGTTAAACCCCAAGCCCCACAGCACGATCATGTTTTAAGCCTCTGATTGTGTCACAGTTCATTAGTATCCTATTGGCCAAAGCAAGTCACGTGGCCAGCCCGGCCAAGAGGTGGAGAGGAGTGTTCTGCCCACCATGAGCCTCTGGCAAGCCCAAGGAAGTAGACACAACCCTGGGAGAGAGGACACTTTGGGACCCCTATCTATTTCACGACCCAATTCAATCTGCTGCACTAGGTGGAAATTAACACCCTGAGGGTCACGGGCCTCCCACTTAGAAGCACTAATGTAGTGTATACCCTTCCATTCTTTTGCATATATAAATTTTATCAAATGGGGCTTATATTCTATTTTTTGAATTCCTTTTTCCACTTAACTTTACATCCTCTATTTTTCCTAACACTGTTTTTGAAAACATGTAATTTAATGGCTGCAGAATTATCAGATCCTAAAGTTGGGGCATTATTTATTAAACTCTTCCTCCGAGATACTTAGGTTGTTTGAAGTTTGGCTACTCTAAATAACGATGTGGTGGCATCTTAAACACTCTGCTGGCATCTGTAACGGGCACTTCTGGGGTTTGCCGGAGCAGCATCAGGTCCCGCCTCACTGCGATAACGGTAGCCTGGTTCCCCTTTGGGGGAACCACACGTCCCCTTCTTTCAGCCCATGTAGTTCATGTGGCATCCACCACTGGCTCCAGGGGAAAGATATGGCTCCAGCCATAAAAGATATTCCACCTCTCCTAAACTCAAAAATTTGACCCAGGCTTGGCCAGTCAGGGATTAAAGAGAGGCATCTGACCCAAGGTGAGTCAATCAGAGTGAACCCTGAGACTTACCACAAAGGGACATTCTCTCTTTCTTGCTCTGACTTCAGCTTTGGAAGATGCAGGGCTGAGGTTGTTTACATGGAACTGGAGAATGAAGCCAAGATGCAGAAGAGCAAAGCCCAGAGAGAGAGACTGGGTTGACACTGAGCTCCTGATCAAGCTCTGCCCGAAGCAGTCCCTGACCTTCTAGTTTTTATAAGCCAATGCATTCTCTTTTTGGCTGAAGCCAAGTTGAGTTGGGCTGTCATTTTGGAACCAAATAGCTCTGGTTTTTTTCGCTTAAATTTCTCGGCTTGGAATTATTGAGCCAAAGGACGTAAACATTTTCTTAAGCCTCTTGAGACCTCTAATCAAATTGCTCTCTAGAAAATATATGCAAACAGTATCACACTGTTAGACAGCCTGTCTTACAAGCATTAGTGTATTATTAGTTTGCATCTTCTTATGGACAGAAATTACATTGTTTAATTCTATTTTTTGTAAGGTGAAATATTTTTCATGTTTATAGCCATTTTTATTTATTTTGTTTTTTTTCTGAATATGAACAATTGTCTGTTCTACTTTGTGAGAGCTCTTTAAAACATTGATCCTTTTCCAAATTTGTCATCATTTCCCTCTAGTTTATTGTCTTTTGATATTTGGATGCGTTCTGAGGTAGATGCGTTTTAATTTTTTTTTTAACGTTCATTTATTATTGAGAGACAGAGAGACACAGAGCATGAGCAGGGGAGGGGCAGAGAGAGAGGGAGACACAGACACAGAACTCAAAGCAGACTCCAGGCTCTGAGCTGTCAGCACAGAGCCGGACGTGGGGCTCGAACTCACAGAGTGTGAGATCATGACCTGAGCCGAAGTCGGACGCTCAACCGACTGAGCCACTCAGCCGCCCCGCGTTTTTAATTTTTATGTGATCAAATTATTTTCAGGTATCACTTCTGTGGCTTTCATGCTTCCCAACTGAAGAGCAGGTCAACACAGACCAGATTTCCTTCTTTTTGGCATTTAGATACCCAGTATTTCTCTCCCTACGATGGGAGAACCATCTCATCTGAACCACCCAGGAGCTTGTTAAAAATCCAGATTTCCGGGCCCCACGTCAGAACCAGCATCTTCAAGAACAATCTCTAGATGTCTCCGTGGTTAGCAAATGTCACGGTGGTTTTAATGAACACGAGAGTTGGAAAACAACCACTCAAAGGAACTGGTATACCTTGGTGTGTGTGGTCTAAAAAGAGGACATAATTTGATTTTCCCACCATTTTTTTCCCAGCACCAGCCACTTGCTAACAATCCAGCTCTCCCAGGATGGTCTGCGGGAAGAATCTTCTCACACTTGAAGTTACTTAAAGCTGGAATTCATTGACAGGTAATGAGCTCTCAGTCTCACAAAATGTCCAAGCCCCGGACCAACTGGTGTCTTGGGGTCTCGGGGTCTGAATGGGAGGTTAGATGAAGTGACATCTCCTAAGGTACCTGAACTACTGCTTTTTTTTT